TTGTTGAGCAAATCAGTTCTCACATGTTTCATTGTTGAAAAGGTTCTCTTCGTAGTAGCTGTTGAAACGAGCAGCATCAACACTAAACAAATCAATCGACTAATCAATTGACATTGTGTGTCAATCCCTGCATTCACCAACTGCTCTAGTAAGTTTTCAAGGGAACAAACCTCATATTTCTTTTAGTCTTTTACATTTTAAACTTTTAGAATTTTAGGTTTCATTGTTTTTTTTTTATACGTATAATCTTTGCGGCTAAAATTTAAAGACTAAATTTAGAGTAGTGATTTGAATATGCTCATCTGAATCATTTTTTTAGTTATACCCAATTTTATTATAAAATCATACTAAGCTGAATGTTTAAAATCGAAAAATTCATAAGGACTATACTAACTACGGATCCAGAAGAGGGCTGGGCCGGGGCCCGGGGTGGCCACCCCCTGGATCCGCCACTGGTTGGTTCTTAAGGACATCATCTTGTACCAAGAAGTATCTTTGGATTTCCTAAGTCTTTGGGGTGTGAGACCAAAGAACGAGAAGCTATTGAAGTTTGAATCCGGCAAAGAAGCAAACAGTGGGCCCTTGGAAGTGAATTTCGAAAATTGGGACCACCACAAGAAGGCCAACGCAAGAAGCCCAAGTCAAGTAGTGGAGCATGATTGGAAGAAAAGGAAGCGCGAGGAGTGGACGAGACAAGGCGCAGTCTACACGGGAGATCGAGTGAAGAAATGGGTCGAGTCGATCAACCTTGAGGACAAGGTTGGTCTCAAGGGGGAGGGGATGATAGAAACCCAATTTTCGGATTTTATCATAATTATCATAATTACTATAATTAGGATATTATTAGATATGGTTAGTAGTCATTGAGTCATATTAGGTTAGGCTAGTCTATTAGGTTTTTCCAGTCTTTCGTTATAAATATGTATTTTGGGATTTGGTCAGAATCAGTCAAGAAAGAATTATCAAAGTATCCTTTCAAACCTAATCTCTCCTAATCCTTTCAAACTCTCTTCTCCCCCTAATCTGGCCGCCGACCATTCTGTTCTAAATTTTCTTCTAAATCCCTAATTTTATCTCTAAATCTCTAAATTTCCAATTTCCCAACCCAACCGATAGAATCCTAGAAATAGGTTTCTATCACAAACCTATGAAATCATTTTGATCAATCATCCGATGGATCATGGAAGTGTCAATGTGTCAAAATCGGACTGCAAAAGAGGATAAATAGCTATTCAAAATCGAAATTTTGAGAAAACTTGCTATGGTGATTTACCACCTTCGTTTTTTCACAAACAAGCAAACAGAATAGCTACTAACGCAATGTACCCACTGGCTTTTTGTAGGTATAACGTCTAGCAATTACCACAAATGCCACCAAGTTGACAAAGCTCAGACCCGCCAGCAGCCAGAAGAAGTAATCCACGTGTCCATAGTTCAAGTTATCAGGAATCCACCCAGGCTTCCCTCCTCTGGTGGTCAAACCAGTAACAATGGTGACCAGCAGGGAGCTCAGGTAACTCCCCAGCGCTATAGTCGTCAAGGAAAGGGCCGAGCACGAGCTCCGCATTGCATCAGGCGCCTGCTCGTAGAAGAACTCCAGCTGCCCAATGTTGGTGAACACCTCAGCGCAGCCCATCAGGAAATACTGCGGGACCTGCCAGAATATGGAGATGGGGACCGAGTCGAGGTGGTAATAGTTGTGCTTCCTCACCATCCTCAGCCTGATGAGCTCCAGGATCGCCGGACAGACCATGGAGAAGGTGGAGATGACGAGCCCGATTCCCATTCGTTGGAGCTGGGTGAACCCGTTTTTGTGGCCCGTGAATTTCCTGGCAGCCGGGACGATGATCCTGTCGTAGATTGGGATCCAGAAGATGACGCTGAGTGTGTCGAACACCGAGACGTTCGCTGCTGAGATCTTGAACTTGGAGTGGCCCAATCGCTTGTCCATTGTGTCCCCTTGGAGGATAAAGAGGTTGCCCATTTGGCTGTACATTGCAGCGGACACTATCCCAGTCGCCCAGATGGGGAGCAGGCGGATGATTGCCTTGAATTCCTCCACCTGGGTTACGGTGCAGAGCCTCCATGGGTCCATTGCTGCCTCCTTTATCTGGTCTTTCTCTGTTTCCACAGCTGCTTTGTCAAGACATCTGGTAAAATGCATAGTTGAAGAATTGAAATCAGTAACTCAAACATTCTACTTCTATTAGCTAGTACCATGGTAATGGTTTACCTGAAGTCTTCGGTATAGTCAAGTTTTCGGTATCCGGAGATGTTGGATTCAGAGTCAGCAATCTCATAGAGGAGGGATTTGTCATCGGGGACACTAACTCTGTACTTTCTGAAGGAGGCCACCATCACCTGACAGATACGCGTGAGAGGGCTGCCTCCAGGTTTCTGATACCTATACTTTCGAGTACCTGAAAAGAAGCTAACAACAGCAATCGCCATCGCCATGGCTGGAATCCCAAGACCCCATCCCCAGCTCACATTGTCCTGGACCCAAACCAGCACAGAGCTAGCAATTAAGGCACCAACGTTGATGGAAAAGTAGAACCAGTTGAAGAAAGAAGCCTTGTGCTCCTTCTCAACCGTGTCAGCATCATCAAACTGGTCAGCCCCGTAGGAAGACACACAAGGTTTGATCCCACCCGTTCCCAGAGCTATCATGTAGAGAGCTACAAAGAAAACCGCGCTCTGGCCATCAGTGGATTGGCACTTGTCCTCTGCAGTACATGCTGGTCTCAGGCCAGGCATTGATGCTGACATAGTCAGAAGCGTCATCCCCTGGTTGGTGAAGTATTTTTTTTTTTATGTTCAGTTAATGGAAATCATTCATTCACCGGTAAATGGCGGAGAGAGAGAGAGAGAGCTTACGAAAACATAGATGATTGAGAAACCAGCAATCGTCCAGTATCTACCGAGATAAGCATCGGCTAGAAATGCTCCTAGGAGAGGTGTAATGTAGCATGTTCCACCCCAGTTAGAGTTGTTTTTGGTAGCAGTGGCGCTGCTTTGGTTGAGCTTGTTCTTGAAGTAAAGCACGAGGTTGGAGCTCATGCCATAGTAAGCCAATCTCTCACAGCATTCATTTCCTGTATATATCAAATTAAGTTTTGCACTAGTGAGGAGCAAAATCTGTTCTTTTCCCATGACCCATCAGACTCTAGTTTAAGTGTCAAGAAGTCAGAAGGATAGCATACCTATGATGAAGGGGCAGGCCTTCCAGGTTCCAGTTTTCCTCTTATCAGCAGGATTCCCTTCATAATCCACAGTCCCATCTTTGGTGAGAAATTCCTCCTCTTCTGTGGCCATCTGCAGCAATCACTGATCTCTTTAGCCCTCAGATGAAGAAGGGGAAATTGCCTGCCTGCATCAGAATTCACTGTTAGATGAAATAGAAAAAACCCAGTTTTGCTTTCCAACCTCAGAATTCTAATATCCAAGAGAATGGTACTAGGAAAATAGAGCATGAATCTATCTTCTGTGGCATGTGAGTCGAGTTCGATCATGATGAAGGCCGTAGATTGCCGGGTGAAAGACTATACAGCCCCTTAACTTCCAGTACTGTATCAAAGTATTAACAAATGAAACAGAAGAAAACAAAAAAGGGCGGTTAAACAGAGAATCCAAAACTGGCTCACACAGTCACACTATCCTTTTTAACTCGCTTCTTCTATCTCACCATCATTCCCTGCTCCACACATAATTGCCGTTTTGGCACCAAGAAGAGAAGAGAAAGGAATACCACTTTCTTTTGTCCCATTCTCCACAACCAGACAAAAATTGGGTTTGCTCCATATTTTGAAACTACTGACAACTGGCAAGTAGGGATGGCAACAAAACCCGAACCCACGGGTACCCACCCGACCCAATCCGGTTAACGCGGGTACAACTCGTGTTGACGGGTTTGGGTTTCAACCCGTTACACTATTCACCGGGTCGGGTTGGGTTTGGGTTTAGGTAAACCCGCCTCATGGGTATTCGCCCACACACATATAATTACTTTCCCGGTATATTTAATATTCTAAATAATATATCATCCTTAAACAACTAATATTCTTTATGTTTGTGGAGATATGTATAATTTGTTCTTTCTAATTGTTTAGAATGAAGTTGATATTATGAAGTGGAGAGTGAAGAAACTTAGTTGACGAGGAAGAAACTTTCAATTAATCTTATTGTTTATAGATGTTATCTTTAATTTTGAACAATTTGTATTGATCATTTGCGGTTTGCTTGTATGCTCTAGATTAGTGTTTTTTGTATGAATAATTTGTATGAGAAGATTGATGTTAAACTTTTATTTTGAAAGAAACTTATTATTGTAAATTTTTTACCACAAAAACTCACGGATACCCATGAACCCGCGGATACCCAGTGGGTTGGGTTGGGTTTGAGGTTTTCAAACCCAGCGGGTTTTACCCTGGTTTTTTTGGCGGATAAACCCATGGGTTTGAGTTTGACAAAACCCGCCCCAACCCGACCATTGCCATTAGGGATGGCAATTTAGACCTGACCCAATTTACCAGATCTGTTTGGTTTGTTTTGTGGCAGGTCGGACCCGCCCCGTAGGCGGGGCGGGCATGGGTACCTCTCATCGACCCGACCTGCCCTGACCCGCCCCATTCTCGACCTGTTCTTGCCTAAATTACATGTAATCTTAGTAAAATTACTTTGCATTTTCCTTTTATTACATTATATTTTAGCTATAATAAATTTGTAAATAAGTGAAAACACCAATTTCTTAAATAATTTAACTACATTTGATTATATTATGGTTTTTTTTTGTCTTTTAGTGAAAATAACGAATAATTCTAATGTTTTTCGCATAAATTACGTAGCCATTGGGTCGACCTGCCCTGACCCGCGCCCCGTGATAAATTACCGACCTAGACCCGACCTACCATGGGGTGGGTATGAATATCGAGAAATCCGCCCCGCCCCGGACGTGCCCATTTCCATTCCTAATTGCCATCCCTACTGGCAAGAGACTTGCCTATTTGCCCAGTGGTATTCTCAGGAGTCCGAACTATTTATAGAAGAATAGAAACCTCCATCATTCCACATTATGCAAATACCAAAGTATAGTTGATATCAAGTTGATGGTTTACGTGAGGTACACGGTATGTAAGAGCATCAATCAATCCAAATTACACTGCTAGCTATTTCTTTGACAATATAATTTTTGAAAGAAAGAAATTATTAAACACAACAAACAAGAAAATACCATCGTATAAATGTTAAATCTATTTACACCAGTGTTCCTTCACAAACAAGCAAACAAGAAGAAAATAACATCAGCGCAGAGTACCCACAGGCTTCTTGTACGTATACCAGTTAGCAATCACCATAAACGCCACCAAGTTGACAACGCTAAGAACCGCCAGCAGCCAGAAGAAGTAATCCACGTGCCCATAGTTCAAGTTATCAGGAATCCACCCAGGCTTACCTCCTCTGGTGGTCAAACCAGTAACAATGGTGACCAGCAGGGAGCTCAGGTAGTTCCCCAGTGCCACAGTCGTCAAGGAAAGAGCCGAGCACAAGCTCCTCATTGCATCAGGCGCCTGATCGTAGAAGAACTCCAGCTGCCCGATGAAGGTGAACACTTCAGCACACCCGATCAGGAAATACTGCGGGACCTGCCAGAATATGGAGATGGGGACAGAGTCGAGCTCATAGTAGTTGTGCTCCCTCACCATCCGCAGCCTTATGAGCTCCAGGATTGCCGGGTAGACCATGGCGAAGATGGAGATGACGAGCCCGATTCCCATCCGTTGGAGCTGGGTGAACCCATTTTTGTGGCCTGTGAATTTCCTGACAGCCGGGACAATGATCCTGTCGTAGATGGGGACCCAGAAGATGACGCTGAGTGTGTCGAACACTGAGACGTTTGCTGCCGAGATCTTGAACTTGGAGTGGCCAACTCGCTTGTCCATTGTGTCTCCTTGGAGGATAAAGAGGTTGCTCATTTGGCTGTACACTGCTGCAAACACTATCCCAGTCGCCCATATGGGGAGCAGGCGGATAATTGCTTTGAATTCCTCCACTTGGGTTACTGTGCAGAGCCTCCATGGGTCGACTGTAGACTCCTTTATCTGGTCTTCCTCTGTCTCCACAGCTGCCTTGTCCAGGAAACTGTTAAATAATGCAGAGTTAAATAATTGAAATCAGTAACTCAAAACATTTATTGTGCATGAAGAGGGTCAAGGTGGGAAGGAAACTTTGGGTCTATATAGTCCTAGAAACTAGTTCGATGTCAATGATTTACCTGAAGTCTTTGGTATGGTCAAGTTTGCGGCTGCCAGCAATATTGGATTCAGAATCGGCATTCTCATAGAGAAGGGATTTGTCATCGGGGACATTAACTCTGTACTTTCTGAAGGAGGCCACCATCACCTGACAGATTCGTGTTAGAGGGCTGCCTCCAGGTTTCTGATATCTATACTTCCGTGTACCTGTAAAGAAGCTAACAACAGCAATCGCCATGGCTATGGCTGGAATCCCAAGACCCCATCCCCAGCTCACATTGTCCTGGACCCAAACCAGCACAGAGCTAGCAATCAAGGCACCAACGTTGATGGAAAAGTAGAACCAGTTGAAGAAAGAAGCCTTGTGCTCCTTCTCAACCGGGTCAGCATCATCAAACTGGTCAGCCCCGTAGGAAGACACACAAGGCTTGATCCCTCCCGTCCCTAGAGCTATCATGTAGAGAGCTACAAAGAAAACCGCGCTCTGGCCATCAGTGGATTGGCACTTGTCCTCTGCAGTACATGCTGGTCTCAGGCCAGGCATTGATGCTGACATAGTCAGAAGTGTCATCCCCTGGTGAAGTATTTTTTTATGTTCAGTTTATAGAAATCATTCATTCACAGGTCAATGAACTGCAAGCTTTGTTGGTGCCTGGTGGAGAGCGAGAACTTACAAAGACATAGATGATTGAGAAGCCAGCAATGGTCCAGTATCTACCGAGATAAGCATCGGCCAGAAATGCTCCAAGAAGGGGTGTGATGTAGCACGTTCCACTCCAGTCTGAGTTGTTTTTGGTAGCAGTGGCGCTGCTTTGGTTGAGCCTGTTCTTGAAGTAAAGCACGAGGTTGGAGCTCATGCCATAGTAAGCCAATCTCTCGCAGCATTCATTTCCTATATATCAAATCAAATCTGGAGCTAGTGAGAAACAAAATCTGTTCTTTTCACATGACCCATCAGACTATCAAGAAGACAGAAGGTTTGCATACCTATGATGTAGGGGCAGGCCTTCCAGGTTCCTGTCTTCCTCTTATCAGCAGGATTCCCTTCATAATCCACAGTTCCGTCTTTGGTGAGAAATTCTTCCTCTTCTGTGGCCATCTCAGCCATTAGTGATCGCTTTAGTCCTTAGATACAGAAGCAAAAAGTGCCTGCCTACTCCCTGCCTGCTTGCATCAGAATTCACAGTTAGATGATGAAACAGTGATATCGCATAGTAACAAAGAAAATAAAGAAAACCCAGTTTCATTTTCCAACCTCAGAGAAATCTAATTGGTAAGAGAAATGGTAACTGGAAAAACAAAAGCTGCAGACTGCCGAGATGCAAAGGAGTGAGAACAGAGCATGGAATTTATGCAAATTGTTGTGGGAAGTTGAGAGTCGAATTCGATCACGATAACGGCCACTAGAGTGCCAAAGCGACGACTAAACCAGCCATTAAATTCCACGGCATCAAAGTCAACAAACGAAACATGCAAACACAAAAAAGCGGCTCAAAACCAAGAACACAATACTGGCTCACTCTATTCCTTTTGACTGGGTTCTTCCTACCCCTTGGAATACAAAGAAAGCATCTCAAAACCACGAGGGCTTCTGGTTTTTGGCACAAAGGAAAGAAATTTCTTTTGTCCCATTCTCCACAACCAGACAACAAACTGGGTTTGCCCCATATTTTGGAACTTTGGGGAAATCACAAACCCAGGCACCGGAGAATCATAACAACTTCCCTACGGTGTTCTATGTTCTTTTACCTTATTATATTGCAGAGCCTCTTTCTCCAGAATCAGAGAATCAGACCCAGAAGCTGGAAGTTATTCCGCGTGCTGATGGGAGATGAAGTAGAGAGTGAAAAACAGTGATGTAGAATCTGGAAGGCGAATCTGAATAAACAAGTATATATATACTTTAGAGAAATTGAGAGGTCACCAACCAAGTCAACTCCTCCTAGGTCTGGCCGTCATGGGTCCCCTTCGCCCTCCTTTTCTACAGCACGCAGGAGATGAGCTGTTAACGATGTTGCTTCTGATTTTGTTTCCTTCTTTTCTTATTTGTAACGAAATTGGTCACTGGCGCTGATTCATCCTCCCCTACTAATTACCCTAAAAGGCTAAAATGACCATAAGAGGAAGATGAACCTTAGAGCGTCTCTGCAAGAGGGTGTCATTTTAGCAGAGAATGCTAGCTGGAGAGTGGAGGGGTTCCTATCTACTTCTTCTGTAAATTAATGTTTTTGAGTAAAAATTATTGTAAGATTGGTTTGGTGATGCAATTGACAGCTACCTAATGCTGCCGTGGAAATGGATATGTGAACTTCCCGATACGTAACGTTGAAATCTGGCCCCGGAAAGGGACATGAAAAGAAGAAAAAAAATTAAATAAATAAGGAAGAAAGAAAGGAGGAGGCAAATCATTTGATATTTTGATCTTGTCTATCTTGTGTTCACATTTTGTGGATTAATTCACAAATATTATCTTTTTCCTTTTAATTACCACCAATATGGTGGTTTAAAACAATTGATACATATATTGTGTTTTTTTAGGTTTACAGCGACAAAGCCCGAGACTCAGGCGTTGACGCTTTTTGTTGAGTTTTCAATAAAAGCTAGTGGTGGCGCCCTAGACTGAGGCGTTGGCGCTGTTTATATGGTCTCAGTGCCAGCGCCCGAGACTGAGGTGTGGCCGCTGCCTCCCTCTTCCACTCCAGCACCATATATACTTCACCTTTCCTTAGGTTCTTCACCACCTAAAAAATCAACGAAGTTACGAGAGAAGCTCTAGTGTTGCTGTCTGGTTGCTAGGAAGATGGTTAATAATAAGTAAGAGACGTATTTATTTTTTAATGTGTTCTTCAAATGCTATAATGATTTTGTTCAGTTAGTAATTAGCGAGTTTGTTTTTTATGTAGTGGTTTTAGAAGATTTGAACTATCTGTTCGGTAGAAATCAGAGAAAGTAGAGGACAATTTGGGCGTCCATTTTGTTGGTGGTAGAAGTTTTAAGTTGACTGTTCCATCCAGGGTGAACTATTAGAAACTTTGTGATAATCTAATTCGGAGAATACGGCGTAAAGACGAAGCAGTACAAGATAGTGTTGTGATTACAGGTTTCACTTACTGTCTTCCAGAATGGCAGAATGGTGTTTATTCCATTATGCGATGCGTATTGTGGATGATGATAGCTTGAATGTGCTTTGGAATTTTATGGCACAAAACCCTTATTGTTTGGGTGCTGAGATACATGCTGAGCTTAGTGAGGATCGGGGTAGAGAGGAAGAAGATGACACATGGAGCGTGCCATTCGATCATGACTATGATGATGGTGATGACAAAGAGGAGGAAGATGATGATGATGATGATGATGATGATGATGATGATGATGATGATGATGATGATGATGATGATGATGATGATGATGATGATGATGATGATGATGATGATGATGAGGAGGAGGAGGAGGAGGAGGAGGAGGAGGAGGAGGAGGAGGAGGAGGAGGAGGAGGAGGAGAGCAGCCTAATTATCCTCCGTATTTTTACTTGCAGGGTAATGAAGAGGACGATGAATTATTTGTTGCTGATTCATATTGCGTAATTCCAATGCCTATTGTTGCTGGTTTTGATGGAGAATTCTACAAGGGGCAGATGTTTCACTCCAAACAAGCTGTACAGGTGGCGATTAAACACTACGCACTACAACACAACTTTCAGTATAACGTGGTGGAGTCGTCACCTTCGATCTGTAAGATCAGATGTTTGAAGCACAAGGATGACAATTGTCCTTGGATGGCGCGGTTTGGATGTCGAGATGTGGGAGGCGAATGGATTGTGAGAAAGGCCGAGTTGGTGCATTATTGTAGTAGTACGACTCAACCGACGGATATCTTGATGTCGACATTATATCTGAGTCCGTGAAACACTTGGTACGTGCCCAACCAAATCTGAGTGTTCTAACTGTGCACGCCGAGATGAAAGATAAGTTTAATATGCAAGTTACTTACAAAAAGGCTTGGTATGGGAAACAAAGAGCATTGGAGAAGTTGCATGGGAATTGGGAAGAATCCTACGACTATTTGCAAACATTCTTGTGGGTGGTAAAGAGAAAGATGCCAACATCGGTGATTGATTGGGTAAGAGTTCCTTCAGCTCAACCAGGACATTCGATATTTCAGCGAGTATTTTGGGCTTATGGACCTTGTATAGATGGATTCAAGAATTGTCTAGGAGTCATGGTTGTTGATGGAACATTTCTTACTGGAAAGTATAAAGGTGTGCTACTCATGGCGAGCTCATTTGATGGCCGGAAGCAGATTTTTCCAATTGCATTTGCCATAGTGGAGAGCGAGAATACTGATAGTTGGTCATGGTTCATTAGTCACATTCAAGGTTTTGACCAAGGGAGGGTGCATCACACCAAGTGTGTGGCAACTGTAACCAAGCAGGACATAATGCATCAACATGTGGTGGCCAAGCAAGTGGGAGTGGGAGCAACCGAAGAGGGAGTGGTGGACAACAATGTGTGAGAGGTGGTAGAAGAGGAAGTAGAGGGTAATAGACGTGGTATGTAGTTTGTTCGAACGAAGATATAATGCAGCAGTTGTTTGGAGTTGTTGTTTGAAGCTGTTGTTTGGAGTTTTTTGATATGAACTAGTTGTTATTTGTTGGTTTTATATTTAAAGTTTTCATTTAGACAATAGCACTAAGATGAGTTAGTCTACATGAAATTAAAAATAGTCCCAAATTAGTACATAATAATAATAAATAGTCCCAAAGAAGTACATAATAATAATACATATCCCAAAGAAGTACATAACTAGTCCCACTAACGACCACCACGATGACCACCATGCTCTGCCACTAGATGGCCGCCAGTACCACACCTCGTTGCCCTCCTAATCCGTGGAGGCCTACCATCATCGTGCTGGGGCTCTTCTCCCTCCACTATATCATCCTGATCCTATGTACCGAACATGTCATCCACCTGAGACTGAACCTGCTCATCTGGTGCACTAGATCCTCCAGCTCGAAGCTGCTCCTCATAAGCCCACATCGATGTCCGAAAAACCTGATCACCATCTAGACGCTCCCACTCATCTGGGTCCAAATCTGGTACAACATCAGTACCTGATCCCATTAATCCGCCTCCTATCGCAGCATGCTGTGGTGTATGAAAGCTATCTTCCGGTGGCTGATACTGTGGGACCGAACTGGTGTCTGCCTGAAATCCGGCAAATGCGCCGGGCTGAAACTGTGGGCCAGAACTGGTGCCTGACTGAAATCCGGCAAAAGCGCCCAGCTGAAACTGTGGCTGAGAAGGCGGGTGGAACTGGAAGGTCGGAGTAGGTCTGACTGGCTGTACTGACTGACGATCTGAGTACCTCACTAGGGGAGGTACGTCGCGCTGCTCACGTCGCGATCTCTGCCTCCTGGGCTCCTGCGTGAACTGTGGCGATGGTACTCCCTAGTCAGATGGCTGAACCCTACGCTCTGGCCAGATGTCTAAGCTACGCTCGTCAACAGGATACCGATGTATATGTGCTGTAGGATCAGGATGTCGGCGCTCACTGAAACCTAAAGCTGTAACCTCTGCTGCCAAAATGTTAGCCAACTCCTCCATCCGGTCTGTGGACATCCCCCCATCTCGAATTCCATCACTGAAAATTAAATTTAAAATATCAGAAATTATACACATCGAAAAAAATTAAAACACAAATATGAATTAATAAAAAACTAACCGCGGCGTTCATTGCAGCTGCTCTCCGTGTGCCTGAACGTCTAGTGACATCTCGATACCACTCTCGATGCTCCGAGTGGTAGGCTAAAGGTACGTCAGTGTACCTCGTACGCGCAATGGACTCATGTCGATTGTTCCACAACTCAATCGACTCACTGGCTGCCTGTATAAACTGCTGGCCACGTGATGGCCCATGCCGGCCCTAGCTGAGGAAAAACCTAATCTCAGCTGCGGGATGTCGGGGATGAGGCGGGTCCTGAATCATTCCAAACTTTCTGAGCACGCGATCTGGATGGTGCCACATCGCCGATGAGCAAATCAGTGAAACTACTGCTCGAAACGTGTCAGACTGGATCACAGTACCGCTGAAGTCCTCGGCTCTATCAAAGTAAGGACGCCACTGCACACAAAAATTGTGCGCCAAATTACTCCTAAATCTAAAACAAATCAATGAACACTATTCTAATCAACGAAATGTTATATACTAACCACGAATGTAGTGCACTCGTCAAGCCACAACTTGTACAGATAGAACTGATCACCATGCTGACAGGTATGGGCCAGAAGCCATCAAAGGCCTCATGGGCTCGGTAATCTGCTCCCCCGTCTCTACATGTAGTGGTGCTATATGAGGAAATCGCTCCCACGCCCAGAGCATCAGCAAGGCGAACCATCCACTAAGGTCACCACCTAGAGTAGAAGACACAGTCATCTGCAGAGCCGACCTACCCATTTCACGGTACATGTAGGATAGAACAGCTGCTCCCCAGGAAAACCTCCCCGCTCTGCGCCAATCATCCACCAAAAGTAGGCATTGCAGATGAACTGAATCTCCAGACCGATCGGGGAACAAAACACCTCCCATCAGAGACAGACCATAAGCTCGTGCAAACTGCTCTGCAGTCTCTGGTGATGCCGAAGGAGGTCGCTCATCGAAAGTTTCCCTAAGCCAAGCAATCCTAATGGAGCCGCTGCAAGATCAGTAGGAGCACGTCCTAACTGTCGAAGACACAACTCCCTCAAGTCCTGGTCTGGTATGTCTACTACGATGACATCACCGTCGATCGCTAGATCGGTGGGTGTAGCAACGTCCTCTAAAGTGATCGTCACCTCAGTGAAAGGCATGTGAAAGGTCGATGTCTCGGGTCGCCAGCGCTCTACGAGCGCAGTAATCAAACCCGGATCATTGGTAAAAGGGGCCAATGGCAGAACCGTAAACAAGCTCGCATCGACGAGATACGACTCGGAAAGTGGATGGTATCTGACTAAATTGCTCGTATCTCGAATGTGGTAAGGACGATCACCAACCTATAGTGCACAAAACTTATATTAATTCAATTTCATGCGTACTTCTAAATTCAGTTCATCTAATATTTATATTTATATATCTAATTTAAACTTATTCTAATACTATTCGTAATTTAATTCTATTCTAATCTAATCTAAACTTATTCTAATTCTATTCATAATTTAATTCTATTCTAATTTAGGTTCAGTTCAGCTAATAAATAAACTATAGAGATAGTTTCAAAACTTACCTCGTTTGCCAAACTACGTCAATACGATGGTGACCGTGCCCCCAAAGAAGTACCGGATCCACCAGAGCAGTATCAATTGTCGCAGGTGGTGGTCTCATGGAATAATTGTCCATAAGCCTAGGAACTGAATAAAAAATCAGAACATAAAAAAAACTCCCCGCCGCCGGCGACAATTCCGGCCACCGCCGACGACAATTTTGGTCACTGTCGGCGATAATTCCGGCCACCGCCGGCGAGTTGCTCACCCCTGTAGCGGTCGCCGCCGCCGCCACGACGCTAACCTCGCCGCCCTCTGCCTCTTCCTCTGCCGGGTCCGTCCTGCTCGTCGTCGGACATGGCTGCTCTGCAGGGAAACCAGATCTGCTTGCGGGGAAGAAGGAAGCGATAGTGGCTCTGGGAAAGGCGCCTTCGTCGGGGACCTGGCGCGGCTGCCTGAGTCTGAGGTGTGGTCCTCCCTTCTCTCGGCGCTGTCGCCGCTGTGTGGGGTTGGGGGTTGATGGGGGTGAGGGAGAGTCGCGGCTGCTGTGCTGTTGTGTGAGGGAGGGCGAGAGTGAGTGGTGAGGAAGAAGATAAGAAGAAAAAAGAAGGTAGCGACGACGCCTGAGTCTCAGGCGTTGGGGACATTTAATTTTTCGAAAAATTTCAAATAGTGCCAGCGCCTGAGTCTCGGACGTGATCGCTGTTAACCTACAAAAAAAAAACAATATATGTGTCAATAGTTTTTAAACCGCCATATTTGTGGCAAATTTAAAAGAAAACACAATATTTATGTCATTAACCCACATTTTGCTTTCATTCATTTCAAGTTTTCCTTATAAATATTGAGTTTAATACTATGTATTAGTTTTGTGCGCGCGCCAAGTTTCATTTGTTTGTATCTTTTCTTTTAGGGTTAATAGGATAAATTGTCCCTCTATTTTGATTTTTTTCTCAAACTTACCTCTCTACTATGAATCACATCAAACTTGTCCCTCTACTATAACCAGACCACCAATCTTGTCCTTCCGTTAAATATTCCGTCAGAATTTCGTCAACCATGATCAATCATGGTTCGACCTGTCTGACCACAATTAAATGGATTGGGAAATGCCAAAAGTACCACACTCTTTCCTTTTCCCAATTCTTCTAACGTGAACCCTAAATCCTCTTCTTGCTCCTCTCCGTCTTCGCCCTCCAAAACTTCTTCTCCTCCTGATGCCGGAGGAGTCTAGGTAATGGTGGTTTCTCCAACCCCGACGTAGACAAACTCCTCCTACCAGCGCTCACCGTTCCAGATGTGGTCACCACCGACATTTGGTTCAAGGTCGCACTCGTCACCACCGCCCTCTCCGCCGCCTACATGTCATCCCCTGCATTCACACCTTCATCAACACACCGCCGGGAGACTGGAAGCTGGTCAATGGGTTGTGCTGGTTGACCCAAGCCGTACCCATCTGGTCGTCGTCGTGCTAATTGTCCACGAGCGAAGGTTACGAGCTCTCCTCCATCATCTCTCCCTTTGAATCTTCTGGGTCTTCAACTTCATCGTCGCTGCTCTATTCGAGCCATCCGGGATTCTCCGCTTCGCCGCTGTCGACCATTCCTCCTTAATTGCAGACAACGTCGTTTCAGTCATCTCTTTCGTCATCTCTATTGGTCTCCTCGCCGTCGTCGTGCGAGGTTAGACTGGGGTAAAAAATTAAATTAGCGGAGCCCATTTCGGAAGAAGGAGGGGAAGATGGGAAATTGTTAGGGAGTGCTTTTTCTTCAGCTTCCATTCTCTCCAAGGGGTTCTGGTGTTGGATGAAACCAGTTTTGGGGAAAGGCTACAAAACCCCATTGAAGCTTTGAATCCCCAGCCTCGCCCCTCATGAAAGAGGCGCCGTGATCTCCCATCCGCAGTAGGAGAAATGTCAGAACCAGGAGGAGAGGGTGTAGAGACTTCTCGTGGAAGATTGCTTTCTGGGCATTATTTCTTTCTTTTTTCTTCTTCTACAAAGCATATATAGGAGAAGGTTGAATTATCAAATTAGGGGTAAAAATGAAATTTTTCAAAGGGAAACCATGGTTGAACCGTGTCTAAGGGCAAGGTTGATGGCTTGATATAGTAGAAGGGCAAGTTTGATGTGATTTAGAATAGAGGGGTAAGTTTGAGAAAAATTCATTATAGAGGGGCATTTTATCCTACTAACCCTTTCTTTTATTATCTGTAATTTTTTCCAATGGTATCAGATTCCTAATTTTCATATTTATTCATTGTTGTTATCTATTATCCGTCTTTCATATGATATGAGGGACCCTGCTCCATTTAATCCAGGTTTTAATCATGATCAACAATAATGTCAAACAACGTTGTAACTTCATCACCACTTGGAAAATAATATTCATGACCCAATAATTTTCAACTTCATAAGTTGTACATGGTTTAAGCTAGCGTACGACACCTTACCATACTCCAATCAAGTTTTGATATTTCGACCACGAATTAACGGAGTTTGGGACATGATACTATGCCATAGTCTCTAATGGATGAACCCTAGTCTCTAATTTTCTAATCCAAATCGTATGATTAATTTAATGGAAAAATAATAACCAATAATTCTTATTTGTCAAAATATATTGAAGTACAAATAATAGGTGTGTACGAAGGTGTATATTACACCTCGAGTGTACACTAGCCTTTTCCACCATTATATTATTAAAGTACAACCTGTAATCAGAGAGTTTTTAGAGTTTTTGGAGAAGAACAAACGAAAGAAATGTCGAAGAAGGAATTGAACGGAAGAGTTAGGGATTTTGACTAGTTAGTCAAACAGCCAGATCAAACCGGTTGAAATCATTCGGTTAGACCTCCTAACTCGATCAGTTCGACGGACTGGATTTCGATAGAATGGGCCTTGCCCTGATAAGCCCACAAATCAATTATTTTGATCCAGTGCTTTTACAGGTTCCAGCCCAGACCCGAACTCAGGTGAGAAGAGACAGAAGAGTCGTCTTCTTCCCCTGGCCAGATTGCAGTCGAAACAGAGGACTGGAAAAACAGAGAGAGGTGAGAGAGAAGAACACAGAGCAGAAAGTAAAGTGCACAGCGATATTTTTTAACGAGGTTCGCCACTGGGCTACTCCTCGTCCCAGGATAGTACTTCACTATCCTGAGAGACACTTTGATTTTCTTTATTGACTCAAAAATCAAACTGAAAACAAGGTTACAGACTCTGTGAGAAAATCAAAATGTCAAGACACTAAGACCAGAATTCTCGCAGGAATTCTTTACAACCTTTGATCAAGCTGAACCTGTTCCTCAGCTTGATTCAAAGCCACTGATGCCCTAAACCCAATCCCTTAGCCCTTTACCACTGAGAGATCCCTGTTTGCTTCAGTGCCCATTCCTTCTCGGCTGCTTGCTTAAATATACCTCTTGAATAGCCGTTGGAATTTGAACTTTGGACTGAAAAGGTAAGTGGAGCAGATGGTGATCGAGATCCTTGATAGATTGATATGCTCCCCCTTAATTTGATCTGCTCCCCCTTAATTTGATTCTGGCAATCTTCTAACTTGATCTCAACAATCTCCCCCTAAGTTAGAGATTGTCAATTGTCGCTTGAAACCTGCAAAACAACTAATACCTTTCCAAGCACAGTCGACATTTAACTAATTCTGCAATGAGCAATTATTTAAATAAGTTTCAGCACACATTCATCATCCCATCATCCCATGATCTCAAATAGAGAGCAAGTTTCAAAACCCTAAAAGAACTTTCAGCAAACTAGGCAAGCAAAAATTCATCCAATCAGCTGGGAGAAAACATGTCCAGCAAACCAACCAGCAAAGCAAACATTCAAGAACTACGATAGGATAGAGCACAAGATGTTAATCAGACTCATAAGCATCTTGCAGAGCAGCAAGCACATCATGCAGCGGAGGGGAGCCAGGTAGGGGTGGGCATTCGGTCGGTTCGGTTTCGACCGAACCGAAATTATGAATACCGGGTCCCCGAATTCTCCCAAACCCCAAACCGAATTCGAACCGAATTAAAATTCGGTTCGGTCGGTTTAAACCGAATTATAATTCGGTTCGGTTCGGTTTTATACACAAAACCGAAATTGAGAGGCTACTTGTATCTTCTCACTTTTAAATTATTTTTCACCCTTAATATAAACAATAAATATGTAATTATATGCATCATCAATGATAAAATCAAACTTTTCAACACATAAGTAATAAAACATTTCAAATATTTATGTCTAAAAACAAATACAAACATAAATATCCACCATTTGAGCTTGAAATTACAGTATTTCAGTTTTTCGGTCGGAAATTCGGAAATTCGGTTCGGTTGAAAGAACCCTGATTTCCGAAATATCCATATTTTCCTTCCGAATTCCGAACCGAATAGCATTAGTTCGGTTTCGGTTCGGTTTAATTCGGTTTCGGTTCGGTTCGGTTCGGGTTTACCGAACCGGTTGCCCACCCCTAGAGCCAGGATCAGAGTCATCATCACTGCTACTGATCCAATGGACTTCTATGTTCTGATCTGGCTCTTCTTCCGACTCAGAGTTTTCTGAATTTTCTTCCTCAGCAGGTTCCTCTTCCGGTTCTTCCTCATTG